TCTCGCCGCGCGCTAATACTCGAGTGAATTGGCCGATCTTTATTAATTAATTTCTCTTTAATTATTGCAAAGATCGCAAAACGGTAGAGGACTTTCCTACTCGGTTTAACCCGTTCTACTTGCACATTATAGATGGGACGATTATTATCAATATATATATATATATATATATATATATATATGTATATATAAGGGTCGTATCTTCCCGCGATCTGTCCGCAGCCTCGGGAAACCATATTTAATATTTCGCGTCTTGTAATAAACTGCTCACCTCTCGATAGCGCCTGTAAAGGTCCCGCACAAGTCGGTTGCTTCATCGAACAATATACCATGACTCGATCGAAAGATTTGCGCCGATCTTACGATCGAACTTTACGAGCACTTGGCTAAAGTAGTTAAAGTAGTTTTTTTGTTTGCTTATTCTTCACCATCGGGCACATCGTCACTGTAGTCACGGAGTATCCAGCATCCAGTTGGCTAAGATCGCCGAATTATGGTTCTTCGCGATACCCCCGTGGCTTCATGATACTACCGCCATTCCATTTTTATATAACCTAGGCTTAAAAAGTAAAAAACGCGCCAGCGCTGTTCGCCGCCAGCTCGAAGTTAATTGGTTTAACACATTAACGCTTTGATTCGTTTTTGTCAGTCTGTGCTCTCCTAGTCCATGACAAGTTACAAAAAAAAGATAATAAAATAGAGAAAATAAAAATAAAAGAGAATAGATGTCCGGGCTGTCGAGGAGAAGTTACATTTACGCGGGACTCGAAGGTACGATTCGCGGAGGGAATACCGTCTGCCCGCGAATCGATGTAAAATGCATCTTTCGCGTGCCACTGCTAAGCTACGCCAGCAGCGGTGGTCGAAGTCGAGACTCGAAAGACGATACTCGAGTCGTCTTTCTCTCTCTCTCTCTCTCTCCTTCTCACTCTATCTCAAGTGTCCACAATCACAATATGTCAAAATTTCCACCATTAAAATTGTATTGTGCGCCCTTATTTCGAAAAATTCCGCGATATGCGTTCTTTTTCTTTTTTTTTTTTCACAAAAGGAAAGAAATTCGTAGGTGTCGCTCAATAATTACGCGTACACGCGATCTGTTAATACTTTTAAACAGACACCGAGAAGAAACATTCTCATCGCACGTATTTTATCGGTGCGTATGTCTACGTTATACGATAAACGATATTAATATCCTAAATATCATTACGACGAGATTCGATTCGCGATTGCTATATCGTATGTTTTTTTTATTTTTCTTTTTTTTCTCGTTTATCAATAGCATTATAGGCAGTGTTCGTTGAGAAACTGCTACAGTTACACATCGAGATGTGTGTATGAATATGAAATTCGATTTCTGGATACAATTGCAAGCATTATGCTCGACTCCATTTCCCCTAAAACTACCGTTTGCCTTTTCTTCCTCGCCCCATCGGTAATATACGCGCGCGCGGGTGCTCATTAAGATATTTATAAGACATTTACGCATTTACGTATCTTAAAATAAGTATCTCGTGTTTATCGAACAACGTAAATCGATAAACTTACTCGCGTAGCGCTAGGAAAATACGCGTCCAAACGCTAATCAAAATAAGCTACATGCTTTTAAATACGTACGCTCAGTAGTGAGTAGCTCAAAAAGTACGCGTGTCATTCCTTTCCGGGTGACAAACATCACGCTAAATGAAGATCATAAAGAAACAATATATAATATTGCTAAAAGAAACCTGAGAATTTCTTTCCTTTGCAAACTAACTTCCCGCACATAATATAACCGAGTAACAATGCACATACTATATCGAGATAACGGAATACAAATAGAAATGATAGTAAGTATAGTAGTGACAGCGGTATTAATAGTAATAGTAGCAGCAGCAGCAGCAGAGGTCATAGTGGTAATTGCAGTAGTAGCTTCAGTGGCTGTGATGATGGTGACATACTTCACTCGTTGCGTCTCGGAGCTCGAATCGATTTAACGATTTGCAATTGATAACGAGTCCCCGGTTCTCACTTATCAATGTGTGATAGGCAACCAGAACGCTCCTCCGGTAACCACGAGAGAGAGAGGTCCCATAATCGCCGTAGCTGGCGACTACCGATAAAGGTCCACTATAATCCCTCCGTGGATATATATCGGACGATTTTTACTTCGGAGTTAGGAGTTGAAGGCAAAATCACAGAATGACGCAGCACCGACAGTATCGTTGTCGCGAGGCTCCCGCGCTGGGTGGCGGAGTCGGTGGTGCGAAATACGCGTGCACCTTTAAGTTCGGTAGATGGGCCTAAAATATAGTACAAACGATAACTCAATCTCTGTAAATTATTAATAACTAAAAAACTAGAATTAACCTTTTCACGAACAAATATTGTAGATTGCAATTGTATACGATTACGATTTGTTCATTCGACAAGACAAATAAGAGAAAGACAAATCTTTAAATTGTAGTGTAATCCACAGTAATTTACCTATGATAATGTACTATAAACTGCGCTCGCGCAAATTCCTTATAAACATGATTCATCGCTAGGCGGAAAAAGCAATATTATAGTCCGCAACCGGACGGAGTATTGTAATTATGCGGGATTGTATTTTTTGCGGAATGCACGATCTATAATTCATAAACAGTTGCGTGATGCAAGTACGCAAATAACGGTTGCTAATAATAACAAATCCGCGACCGTAGAATCATTTTTCTCGCGTAACGTACGATCAACTGATATACGATAAAATAGGAGACAGTACTCTGAGTTTACGTATGCCCTCTCTGGTAATGTGTAGGCAGTCGTAAAGTTCGATACGTTCAAGATTGTGGCAGGCCTGCATCAGATGATTCAGACCATTGTCCGAGATGTTCGGGCAGTTGTCCAGCTCCAAAACGGCTAAGTGCTCGGCCGCGCACGGCGACAGTGCGATTTGTCGGAGGCCTTCGTCGGTGATCAGCTCGCAATGCGACAGACTCTGCGCGCAGAAATGCCAAATGCGATACCCATGTGTTTTCGTTATCAAAACTCGACAACGATACGTGGTTCAATAAAACCTGCGAACGCTAAACACGCTTTGTCGCGTATCTAAATAAATGGATGCTGATATATTGAATCGTTACTCACTAGTTTCTCCAATCTCGGACAACCCATCGCCAAGTGAGTTAGGGTGGCGTCGGTGATTAAAAGGCACTCTTCCAGATCCATCTTCTCGAGCAATTTGCAATTCTGAAAGTCGAGACTCTGATAGATTTTGTGTTTGAAACGAAATTCGAATAAACAACGATCGACGATCAACTCACTCTCGCGAGGGCTTGAAAGCCCGTATCCGTGAAATGGGTGCACGCAACGCATTCGAGTACATTGAGGAGTGGACAGTGTTGTGCCAGGCTAATCAACGTCGCGTCCGTTAAATTGGGGCAATTCGACAGGCAAACGTAATGCAGCCGTGGACACCGTTCGCTAAGTTCTCTAACTCCGTCGTCCGTTATATTCTGCAACAAGTATTCTAAAATGATTTTTACTTACTAATAATGCCCGAACAATACTCATTAAGTCTTATCTCTCGATACAAATTTAAAATTAAATATATTCCGTGCAAGATTTATTATCGACAAAATATATACAGGTAATTGAAGTTTTCTCTTTTTTACTTAAATATATCTCGCTTCTTATTAAAAAGTAAAATCTTTATTATTTTTTGTACAATCGAATGCTATTAAATCGAATTGCAGATTTTATTTCGCACAAACTTCTCCTTCAACTTCGTCGGTTAAAAAAAAAAACAACAAATTTTAATTTGTTTTTAACGAGAAAGAGACACAAGGACGAGTCTTATCTCGAGAAAAACAGTGGCGATATCTTGTCGGCGGCAAACTCATCGCGAGCACGAACTATCATGACGTCTGAGAGACGTGAAACGCGCAATTGTTTCTCTTTGCGTAACACGCGGATTTGCGGAGTCAATGAGATAAGTACCCTGCATTCGTGTAGATTGATCGCCTCGAGATTAGGACAGTTGCGCGCCAAACACATTACAGCCTTATCCGTGAGCTGGCGGCATCCCTTGCTCAAGAAACTACGGAGTTCCGGGCATCCCTTGGCGAGCGCGTCGACCCCGTTGTCGGTGAGCAGCTCGCACCACGAGAGATTGATGTGAGTGAGCAGCGGACAGCCGGCCGCGAGATCCTTTAGGGACATGTCCGTTATCTCGGGACACGAGTCCAGATTCAGTCGCTGGAGTTTGGGACAATGACTGCTGAGGGCCGCGCATGTCGCATCCGAGATCCTCTTGCATTGGCTTAGATTGAGCTCTTCGATATTGGGACACGATTGGGCTAGAGCGCGCATAGAGTTGTTGCCGATGCTTTGGCATCCCTTGAGCGAGAGCTGCCTGAGAAATCCGCCGCAACGCCTCGAGATATTTTCTATTACTGGTCCCTACGCACAAACATCCCTCGCCATTATTCGCGTTAATCGCGACTCAAAAGTGGCCGGTGATCAAAGGATTCGACTATCGCGCGACTATCGTCCCTCCGTTTCTATTTACCTCCACGTCTCGTTGAAAATCGAAGAGATCGATCCTCTGCCAATTGGATCCATCGAGCGCTAACACGTTCCAGGCCTTGCTTACTTGGGCACAACGGCATAGCGATACGACATCGAGGTATGAAAAAATTCTGTCAATCACAGAGATTCGTTAGCGCGTGCCATCGCGTTGTACGTTTCGCGATTACTTTGCAAACGGAAGAGTGTGGATTTAAGCTTTTCGCGAGGCTAATAGGACGCAATACATTTTACGTCTCACATATCAGCGTAAAAATCATTCGCGCCATCATCACTTGCGCCTCGGTTATAAAAAATTTTGAAAGATGAGAATAAATGTGTATGCAGGATACCGTAGCTAATTCAATTTAAATAAAAATTTAATCCTCAAAAAAAAAAAAAAATATATATAAAAATTCTATATTCACATATTTTGCGATATATGATTTGTATATATTTCTCTTTATTATATCATTACAATTTTTAAAATATAAACACGACGAATCTAACACGTACGATAAAACATCTAATTCGAAATCAAATATACAACGGGTATCTTATATTTCTCCATTTTTCTTTTTATAACCAAAACCAATCGTCTATTGCTATAAGTCTCGCCCGTCTTATAATATAAAAATAATTTGTGTTAATCCGAGATGTGTAAGCCCGTCGTCGTACCTGAGTAGCAATTCTTTTGGCAGTTTCTTGTTAATCTGCGCTTCGTCATCGTGAAATACCCATGTTAGCTGCAACGAAAGACACGTGATTAAATACGACCGTGAATATATATGACGAGGCGGACCGCGGTTGTGTTATCGCTCTCACAGAGCGACAAATGTTCAGAGAGCAGCTGACACTTTGCTCCGTTGTACACACACATACACACCCACACAGATACACACACACACACACATACGTGGCAGAGGGATAGGGGAGGAAGACGGGGAAATCAGAGGAGAGAAGGACGTACATTAGATACACGCTTTTCATGACAAGACATCATGAAAGAGAGGGGAGAGAGGGGGAAGAAGGCGCGGGTGGAAAGATGTCTGTAGTAAAGATCTAAGCATTGGCATATGTCTGGATAGAGTTCTCTAGATTAACTAACCTGCATGTAGGATTGCTTCATGGTAGTGACAGGGTTGTGAGTATGCGATTGCGACGTGTAATAACCGCCCTGATGATGATAGTGTTGTTGATGATGATGATGGTGATAATGGTGATGATAGGATGGATGCTGCTGCTTCCACCATTGTCCACCGGTACCGCCGCCACCCTTTTCCGATTCCTCGACTGCCAGTACCCCATGGCCCCCTCCTCCCACTCCTAATTGTTGGAGACTTACTTTTTTCTAAAAAAAAAAAAACATCCCAATACGTGTCATCGCGCCGACCGTCCCGGTGCTCGCACTCTCGCGTTATAAGCGGAGTCGCGGCCTCGAACGGTATTTCCTCTTTCGTCGCACGCTCGAATTTGAAGGATTTCACGTAAAAGTGAGGAGGATTTATAAATCCATAATCCTATATTCCAATCATCGCGCATCCATAATTATATACGTAAAGTTTATTGTAATTACATTTTTTTTGTGGTCCTAATTAATTAATTAATTTGGACTTAGGTTGTTATTGTTTTTGCACTGAGATTTTCAATTTTCAATTTGCTCACTATCGGAATTATTATTAGCTGCATGATAATTAACTGTATAATAATTTAGTGTTTAATATATTGAATGTGACTTTAATTTATAAATCTATATTCCAATCATCGCGCATCCATAATTATATACGTAAAGTTTATTGTAATTACATTTTTTTTGTGGTCCTAATTAATTAATTAATTTGGACTTAGGTTGTTATTGTTTTTGCACTAAGATTTTCAATTTGCTCACTATCGGAATTATTATTAGCTGCATGATAATTAACTGTATAATAATTTAGTGTTTAATATATTGAATGTGACTTTAATTTGTTTATAATTTCAATACCAATTATAATGTGTAATTATTATTAACTGTAATAGTTACGATATACGATCTCTAATAATTATAGCATATTCTAAATTGCGGAAACACCTTTGACGCATCTATATGCGCGATTTCCTTTCGCCACATACTAATCGCCAATTAATTCATCGTCGATCCCGGTGTGAACAATAGCGTATGCAAAGTCGGGATTCAAATGATGGCACGATATTCAGATTGGAAAGTGATATTTCGCTGAACTGTTATTTCGCAGGTAAATGTATTCGCTACAAGCAAGCGCCGCTCATCACATGGTCACATATATATATCATTAGTACAACGTTACACAAAAATTATTATTAAAAAAAAGCATATACGTACAACGAAAAATCGTATAGGGATTTAAATATATGTATTCTAAAGTATATCATGCATTTTTATCTATCTATATACCGTCAAATTTCGATTCGTGATTAGGTTTTTTTCAAAAATGATAATCTGTCAGATGGACAGACGACGCGCTTTATGTAACAGACTGTACATCGACGCTTGATTAACGCGCATACGATTGAACGTATCGCGATCTCTCATATCCTTTATTAATTAACGCAAAACATTTTTTATCTCCGAGTATATCTCGTTTGATCGAAAGCTATCATGCAACAGGAGCGAGTGTGTGTCTCGTTGCATTTTCATTGAGAGCTCGCTCAAAATGCTTGATTATCAAGAAGTTAATAAAAGTGGAAACAAACGCGGATTCATGCTGGATACAGAATAACATGGCTATTCATGACTCACAACAAACATTTTCAAGTGTAAGTTGTTTGCCGAATCTCAAATAATTTCCTCTTTTGCTTTCGGCGTAATGTTGTTTCATCTCGAGAGATGAAACAGCTGATGCGTGCAAGTTGTCTGTGTGCGTGTGTCATGTATATCCCAATATAATATATTATAAAAAACAAATTAAACTAATGAGTTGCTTGATGGTATGTAAGATGAGAAATAATTAACGATAACAAAGTTGCATTTCGCCCTATGCATTCGCCTCCATATTTCGACCTATATATTGGGTTGAACGGAAAGTTCGTGCCGTTTTTTCGGTCTTCATCTGTTAGCAAAAAACGGAACGAACTTTTCATTCAACCTAACAGTAATAATATAGAGATATATTATAAAAATATGTACGCTTTTAGATACATGCAGAGATTGCTTCGAAACGAAAAAAACTATTTTTCCACACTCGGTTGTGTTGCTTTTTGTATATCATTTTAACGCGGTCAGCTGTTATAGCTGTATCTTGTCAATGTTAAAAATAAATCAATGAACTCGCTTACGTCTGTGAGATATATACATGGAAATAATCTATATACAATGAGAGAGCTTCTCATGTCGTACGGCTATAAGGATAGGAAGACTGTTACAATTGTAGGTCACGAAATTATAATTTCCAACCTGCTGTGTTCAACATTTATTTAATAAATGTCAATTGGGATGAAAAACTTGTTTCCTTTAATTTCTTCTGCGATAGAAAATAAATTAAAATTTATATTTTATGCAAAGAATCCATAACAAAATTTGAAATATAGATATATTTTATTATAATATATACACTTGCATATATGTAATATTTATTTGAAATATATTTATATATAATTATTTCTTTCTCTCTCTTAAGAATTTATTAATTTGTTATCAATCACTTTTCATGTTAATGGGATATGTAAATTTTTTAATGAAGGTAGCGAGATTGTTGGAGTCTGCGCGCGAAGATATTTTTTCAACACATTTTTTTTACATGTAATAACGAAGTTATCACGCCACGATTCATATTTACAACACAAAAAAGTTATAAATGCTTGATATGCATTTCTAACGTTGCGCATGTAGAATTTATGCAAGCGCAAGTTATCTGAAACGACGTTAGAAAATTTGTCGAATAATTATAACAATTCATAATTTCTTTGCGAAACTTGGTCTCTCTTGCGATAAGACTTCCCCATACCTCTCTCTCTCTCTCGAATTTTAAACTGATAAAATTTTCCAGTAAATTTTTGCGTTTAACGATCCATCGAAACAGTTCGTAAAAATTGTAGATTTCTGCAACCAAGATATATTTTATTTTGGTATGCGTTTTCGCCGTTCCATCAGAAATGATCAATTTCGCGTGCGCGCGAGGGTTTATTTTACCTCGTCTACGAAATTGGGATACGTCCTTTCGTCATTGTGCGCGTCCTTGAATAATAAAGCGTTTTTATCAATAATGACCGTATGCATAGATACGCGGGTGGCTCTTCAAACTTCCATGCCTTATCGCATCATGTATGCAAGCGTCGCATAAAATTATACGGGATAACGAGGCGACCGGTTCAACGATAGCCATCGATGCGACGAAGATACGCGATTGCGTTCGGCCTTAAAACGTAAAATACGAGCACACAGCCTCGTGAATAATTGCGACTCGTATAATCCAGAATAGTCCTTGGTGCGCAGCAAGCGAAATAGTTAAAATAGCCGCTGCGAAAGATACATTTTCATTTTATATTCCACCACGGATACACCTGTAATTCAGACATATACCTTCTCAGTTGCCGTTGTGTTCAAGCAAACTTTATATCTTCAAAGACTAAAGATAAATAGAAAGCTTAACTCTTATACAGCAACTTTTACATTAAACGTATCTTTCATTTTATTAATTAAAAGATATCTATTCGAACACGTTTTCTATTTAACCACACATAAACAAATTTTTAAAGAAAATATTTAAAAATTTCGGATATAAATATCGCGCAAAAAAAAAAAATTAATTATACACACCGATAAGCTTATTGCTAACCGACTATGTATATACTTAAGATTAGAGTACTTTAGTCTATACGTTACTGTAAACAAGTCATAGCAGTATATTATATACGCGTTGACTTTAATAGCGTTATCGCCGTGGATTTTCCTGTTAAAAGTTAAAGCGCGCTTGCAAATCCCGAAGAGTGCTTCTTAATAACTTTATTATTACTTGAATTTAGAATGAATTACCGCGAGGGATATTTAACATCTTTATCAGAACATTATATAATACATGCATATATTGTATATATATATTATACGTATGTATAAAAAAAATTGACAAATTAAATTAAATTAAGAGACATATGTGAGAAACTTCAACTGTCATCTCGTCTCTCTTGGCTCCTGGCTCGTTTCTCCGATTTCGCGCGGTGCGGCGAATTCCGCGCGGGCGGGCTCAAAAGCGGCAAAATAAACTGACATCGATTCGCCATACGCCTTAAATACACACACACACACACACACGGGCGCCGCTGTGCAGTATAACGAATACACCGCGCCGCGTGTTAAATGCGGAAGACAAATAGCGGAGACGCGCCGTAAACAAAGTGCGCAAATCGCGAACGACGCGACGAGACGTGGGGGCGAAGACCCCCGCGCGCGTCGCCGTCGATACGATTGCCTTCCATTATTCCTTATCTTTATCAGGGAGACCCGCGAGAGAGCGAGCGATATCGCGGTCGCGAGAGATCAATGCGGTCGTCGAGAATTTCGCTCCGCTTCGCAACCGGGGAGGGAGGGAGGGAAAAAAGGAACGAGGACGAAAGAAATCGCTGGGCGATAGCTCGATGACAAATAACCACCTTATATTCTGAGAATTTTCTATATTTAATTTTCTTATCGATCAACTATCAAATTAATTGTTTTCTCCGAACGTTCATGTTTTTCTTTTAAATACACGAAATTAGACATTACTCAAAAATTCCGATTAATTTTGAATCAGTATTTAATTAATCAATTCTTTCGTTTTAATCATATATGTAAATGTATATTTTGTGTCGTTGCTATCGTATTATTTTTTTTACACATTATTATTATTACATCTTTAATAATTATATAGAGATAGAGATTGTTTTTCTAAGATCTGTGTTTTCTTGTCGTCACAGTCATACACTGTGTAGATTCAGTTTTTAGCAAATTCCGTTGCACCGAGACAATGCAATGTGACGTCATTTCGTGATGCGCGCGTCCTATAATTTCTGTTTACGTCTGTCGACTACCGCTACCTTTGTCGTGAGATTTTCCCAAAATGCCATTCAAAGGAAAATCTCTTTAATTCCTCCGATGTTATCCGATCCATGGATCACGGATTACGAGAACGGGAGAAGCGGGGAAGAGGAAAATTTGTTTAATCTCAAATTAAAGATTGTTGAGATATGTGTCAGAAAACACGTGTGCTTAACTACATCGATCGAAAAATACACGAGGCACTTTTAGGTATTTGAGAAAAGTTTCGTTTCTTGTTACAGAATTTCGTTACAAAATTCCAGGAGCAATAAAACTATGCAAACTATTTGGCATGAAAAGTTGGAATATCAAAAGGAATCGCGCGTGGATAAAATAGTTGTCTTTGAACGAAAGCGCTTCGGAGAAATTTAAGATGCCATTTGTTCCATTGTATTTTTAAATAAAAATCGATTAAAATTATTATCGTTAAAAAGATTTGCATATTTTCCGTTTAAAAAAATATTATTGATTTCTATTTTTATATATTATTTATTTCTCGCTTTTTCTTCCTTGCTCCGATATCACAACGTTAATATGTCAGATATACACATATATGTCGCGGCTTAATACGATATCAAAGATTAAATTCTGATAAAAACAAATCACCTGATCTCACACGAAAAAAACAAATCATTTTAAAACATTTACAGTATTCTCTCTTTGCGAGATATTAAATTGAATTGAATAAAAATTCTGCAAAATCTCAATCGTAACTTCAAATCGATTAAAATCGGCAATGAAGAGGAAAAAGGGGGCACTCAGCAACGAAGATATTTACGGTTCCTAAGTTAATAATAAGTTCAAAACGAAAGATACATATATAGCCCGTCCGCGACCTCCATCGCGTTGCATCGCATTGTTGATATGCCGTTACAGCTTCTTGCCCTCGCGACAAATCGCTCACTCGTCAAGCTCGTCAAGCGCGCCAACGATGTGGCCCCTAAGCCCGTGTGGGCAAGTCTCAATCTTACAATTAGAAAGTTTATATATATAATTTAATTTGTGTGTGTGATGACTAATAATACAGATCGCGATAAAAACATCACAAATAACAATATCTCTAGAGATATTTCTGAGAGTTTGGCATTTCTCCCGATTCGTCTACGATAGTTACGATTTATATGCAACAGTAAACTTGAAAAATTTCGAGAATAATTACTATCGAAGATATTTTGTCATTATATCCATATATAATAAATATGCAAATATTAAAAGAAGTAAATATATATGATAAGAAACGTATCATGTATATATGAAAATTTTACACAAAAAATGGAAGAGAGAGAGAGAGAGAGAGAGCGCGGCTCAATACGGATTGATCGGCGAAGCGTCAAAATATCTGTTCAATTTTCCGGAATGAATGGGAAATCGCCAGGATCTCGTTTCGCGAAATCACAGGTACCGGTATGTCGATGGCCGAGAGAGAGAATCGTTCTCGTGACGGGCGACACGCGCCGATGCGTCCGTGCTCGCGCGCGCGCATCCTCCTCTTCTCTTCGCGGAATCACGAGAGCCGCCGATCGCGTTGCTAAGAAATTACATTCCGGAGAATTGCGAACGATACCGTTTATATTTCGACGCGTCCGGATACCGTCTCCGATGCCGGAAGCGCAATGTGATCATCGATAAACAACAATCGCATTTCGCGACAATCGCCATAGATGTAGCGGAGAAAAAAATAGAGACGGATGCAATTTTCTCGGAGTTAAATTTGTCGTCGATATATTTATTCAATGGCGCAATATCAAGGAGGTAATAGAGTTTTCGAGAATGAAGGGGCTTTCGCGAATTAACCTTGGCAGACGGTAGATAAATCACGAGACGCATTACTCGTTGTTGGATCCGAGAGAGGCGGACTTTACTTTAACGGTAGTTTAATTCGAGGCTTAGTTTGCGGGATATCGCATATTTAAGATGGGAGAATTGCGAAAAATGAATGAGCGTGTGACGACCTCCTCCGATATCTTCGCTCGAGAAAAGTTTGCTCCGAAATTCGCAAGAAACAATGTTATGTGTGTATGTCCATCCCTTCCACCAATTCTAGGACATCCTGTATATATATATATATATATATATATATATATATATATATATATATATATATATGTGTGTGTTCTCCTTAGCCACGCTCTGTACACTTTCCTGCGCAAATTTGATCCTCTCCTTTCTCTTCCTCTCTCTCTCTTTCTGTCTCCGAACATACACCGGTTTCGTTTCGAGTACAAGAAGCGCAACAGCAGAAATGCAGTTAAAAAGAACATGTCAAGTTTCGAAACGTGAAAGAAATTGACGTCGACGAAGAAAGAAACGTTAAGCATATTAGCGAAGGAGAAGAGAGAGAGAAAGAGAAAGAGATGAGAGGGGGGTGGGGAGGGATGGAGACGACAAAGAGGTACGATAAATCAATTTGATAAATTTGATAAGAATCGAGATCAATAATCTCTAAGTTTTCGTCGCGTACATAGTCTCAGAACTTGAAAACTTGCGATATTTTCATATTTTAATTATTTATAAGTTTTACATTTGAATTTGACGCCCATGATTTATGATGTTTGGTCAAAGAAGTCCCATATACACGCCAATAACTTTTCGCAATTTACAACTCATGAATGAAGTAATAAAAATTGCAGAAAGAGATTTTATTTGTTTATTTGCCGAGATTGCAATAACATGATGTCGTATTGCACTGTTTCACTTATAACGTACGTCTTTTATTGAAAGCAAAAAGAAAAGAAAAAAAAATATACATATTAAACAGAGTATATTTATAAAAAAAAAAATCTTTTTAGCAAAAAAAAACCTATCTCTAAAGTATATATACATATAGTTTTATAATATGTATTACAGTTGATTTTTGTGGAGTACATTAAAATAATCGCCCTAATTTTCATCATTGTTATTGTATATAAAAGTGAATATTTTATCAAGATATATGAATATTCAATCAAGACACAAGTACAATTATTATCGGATTAATAATCTTACTCTTAATGTCTGAGAGCAATTTATTTCAATTTGACAGATAACCGATGTGCGTCGTAATTTTGTAAGAATGTGAAAATCATATATCACATGTATATTTATACTATGCATGTTTGTAGATTGCAAATCCAATATAACGTATTTAATAACGTTCCTGTGTGTTATCAACCTATCCGAATTATCTAATTCAAACATAAGATAGCGAAGTAGCCTACTACAAAGACCATCGGATCCATTATTACTATTATCACTATTATCAGTCTTATGAAAATCGACCGCATCGTCATTATAATCGGAGCGCCGTGTAATTGAAAAAATAACAAAATATTGAACAAAGAGATACGTATTTTTCACACACCCACATACATACATACCCATACACACGCATACAATTTAAAATTATTTAATCTCCAGTGGAAGAGAGACAGCGCGAGGCAGAGAACGCTACGAAAACACGGACCCATTCACAGCTTCTTGCTTATCACTGTCGGGCACACATTGTTATCGAGAGCACGCGCGCGCCCGCTTGTGTTTACGCTCGTCTGTACGACGCGCGCGATTTTGACGGTGCGTCGCGACGACGAGCGTCACGACGCGTCATCTCGCCTCGCCTCGCCACCGTCCCGTCGAGAGAGAGAGAGAGAGAGAGAGAGAGAGAGCGACGTCCGAGAACGCGCGCGCGAACGATGACGCGCTCGCCGTTGCGATGACCGTCGAGGAACATCGTTCATCCGATCAGATTGGCAGCGTCGTGACCGTCAACGCGGTCGTTCAATGAACAATGACGCTCATTGACATTCCGTTCGTGTGTCGTCGTCGTCGTCGTCGTCGTTGTCGTCTTCGTCGCTGCTCGGACGCAGCCAGAAACGAAGAACAAAGAGAATAGTAAGCAGGGCGGGGGAGGGGAAGGCGTGCATTTAACAACGAGAACGCATCGCTGGCGACGTAGCCACCGCTGGCGATAGCGAGAGCGACGGAGAAAGATAGAGAGACAAAGAGGTGGAGCGCGAAAAAGAGAGAAATAAAGAAAGACGGAAAGGAAGGACAGGAGGAAAGAGGAAAGAGGAAAGAAAGGACAAAGGACGGTGTTGGCTGACTAGCTAGGCAGGCTTGCTCGGTTGCTTGGTTGGTCGATGAGAATATATACGTAACATGCACGCGAAAAAGATTGGAGAATGACAGCGTGTTGCCAGCCAGCCAGCCAGCCAGCCAGCCAGCCAGCCAGAATAACGAGAGAATGCCCTGGCGCATGACGCCTTTACCGCGATCGTCCTTGTCGTAGGTCGTCATCGTCGTCATCGTCGTCGTCGTTGTCGTCGTTGTTGTTGTCTTCCTCGCGATCGTGATAGGGACGCGAAACAACGTCGACGAGGATGCCCGTGGTGGCCGCCGCGCTTCGCGGAGGCCAGGGGAACGAATCAGCTGTTCGCCTCGGCAATGACAACATTGAACACGCACGACCCCCCCGAACGTGTGGCACTTTGACGCGCGTTTCTACCGCGTTTCGACCGCGGACGCTTTGACAAACGGCGTTGACTTACCTCGAGCCTGGTGCGCCCGGAGTGTATCATCCTTTTGCGTCGCGTTATTTTGTAAAACTTCCGGGAGTACCCGCACGATGCAGTCGCAAAAAAAAAACGTCGCGCGACTGAACGAGTATCTACGTTTCGCGAGAGAAATGGCCGAGTCTACTGAATGCTCGACGTGCAGTTGCAGTGGGGTAGGGGGGGGAAGACTGACAGAACGGTGCGCCGCCACTTTCTGTCAGAGCCGCTCGCGTACGACTCGCGGATTCGTCCACCGCGGTCGACTTGACGACAGCGCGGCCAATCGACGCTTCCCTAGCCATTGTTTACCCGCTTCCCATTGGATCGTTATTTTTGAGTAGGGCGACGGGACGACGTGCGCTTTGTGTGCATGACGCGACGTTGAGAGAGACATGCATCATCTGCTTCCGAAACAAAGAAGAAACTATTTCGCATCTGCAGTCGGCATTGTTAATAGCGTTATTGTCGACGTAGGTCAGTTAGGGTACCAAGTTATCGATGACAGAATGAACGAATCTTATGCGTCCCAGATGAGCGCGAAGTTAAGATCGGCGCGTGTTGCTAGGGTCGCTTTTGATTCACATTTTGATAAAGAACACGGCGAGGAAAAGGGGGGGGGGGATAATCTTGTTGACCTGGATTCAGTTGTGGTTTGACCGAAATATTTAATTTACGGATAGAGGGATTGCCAGAGATGGCGAGTGTCTCGAATGTTGCGCGTTAATGAAGAGTTGATTATTATCTAACGATAAGCTTTTCTCGTCAAAGCAGTTGGCATTAATTTCATGATGACATAGTAAATGCGCATAAATAGGAACGTACAATTCAATAAAATAGGATTGTTGGATAATTCATAGCTTATCCAATATCATAGTGAATATCATCGACGACACAATAAAGAGAATGCGTAATACACTCAATGATGAGTAGTATGATTAGCCTAATAAGCACTTTAACATCATTGATTAATATAGTGCGTAGTGCGTATAATACGATACTAAATGTCGCTTTAAGAAAACATTATTTTTCAATTAATGTATTTGATATTCGAGTATCATTACTGAAATATTTATATAAATTTACAAAAGGCTATTATTTTCATTAAATTCTTTTAGAATTTGAAATAAAAAACATACTTAAATATTACAGTAATTTTGTGTCGGAAAGAAAAGATTTTATTAAATTACTCATTAAATTACGGTAAAAAAAAACTTAGCTTATAAAATTGATGCTAGAGAAACGTTAAATTTGAAAAATTTATTCCTGTTTATTCTCCGCGTATTACATTTGATTATATAATTTCACGTGAATCAGACCTATTATCAAACGATAATCAAATCGAGGAGTTAAATCAAATCATTGTATTTTTCAAATATAGATTTTTATAGGTCGAACGATGCGATATTATCAAAGTGTTATAGATCGAGGTCGATAAAAACAACAACGATATATATACTCTTATATGCGACGTGTCGTAATTTGGAAGTTACGGATTCAGAGATCTATCTTTGATTATAAATTATTGATTTAATATAAAATGAAGCGGTATTTATCGTATAATCATAGCCTGTATCTATGATATATGCAGATTATTACATTTGTCATCGCAAAAGAGCTAATTAAATAAAAAACTAAATGAAAAATCGCATGTCTGCAAATCATAATAATTTGTAATTGCGGATAATACGTATATAGAGCATTTTATACATATATCCTGTCGTTTTGAATATGTATATATAATAATTTTTAATATATGTAACAAAGATTTACAAATTTTGGTCGATAAAAATCCTGGGTTATTATCTAGTTTTGCGCTAATAAAAATAAAAATTTCTCGCAGAAAATTATTATCAAATGATAAGATAAGCAATATAAGAATCAACATGCTTATTGTAATAATCAGTTATAGCATTTTAAATTGTCAAATGCGAGACATTGTAATACAACAAAATTTCCACAATAAGATGTGAATCTCTGAAAGCTCTGTGTGAATTTTTTCTTAATGTTAAGATGTAAAATTTTATATTGAATTACTTGTCAAATGTCAAAAGTGCAATACAGTTGCATGTAAGTTTAGCTTTTTATTTTTTTTTTTTTTTTTTTTTTTTTAAATAGATTATAGGAGAATCTGTTTGAATGTGTGAACAAAATTTAAAATAAGTCCAAATCAATTAAATTTCCAACAGACGATAGTCTTTTATTATCACTTATATTTATTTAATGCGTGTTAGTAAGAACAAAATTGCTATTATACGATGACGTTTCGGATTATATGTATATAAAAACCGATAAAAGTTATTTCTCGTTACAATCAAAATCGCGATTCCACCAGAAATACACAGAAAAAAAATTCTAAACGAAAATAGAGAGTGCTCTTCTCAATAATTTGAAATACATTCTATAATATACAGGATGTTCTTCGGTGATCATTGTCATATTAGTGGTTGTCGCTTTTACGAAATACCGGCGAGCCAGATGCGCGATCTCATGAGAAAATTATCTCTTATTACTTTTTTGTCATGACAAAAAAAATTACCCTAATATGCGATTGGCCATCTGTAGTATGTTACACCACTTTCTCGAGTTCGGGACCATCGCAGATTCAACCGGACATACTCTAAAACGAGAAAGACGACGCATCCGGATGCATCGGTAAATGTCCTCAGGATGGAATGGTGATGCTGCCGCATATTGATTGCACCAAGTTCTGCAAATGCTTCAACGACGTTCCGATTATTCAGAACTGTCCGAAAGGCTTGCATTATTCTATGGACAAATAGATCTGCGATTGATCATGGATAGTCAAATGTGAAAAAAAGTAAAGTAAAAGAGAGATGTACCAGAAGATCAGAAAGCGAAGGAAAGTTAGAACAAGAAGAAGTACGTCAAAGTGCAATTTTTGTTGACTCCCCGTTGATTATTCATTGCGTTGAACTGATGTAAGCGATGATTCGAATATTTATCTCTTCTTTTTAGATATTATTAACAAGATGTATTAAAAAGAAACATATCAAAATAAATCAAAATTCTCCTATGTAATACATTTGTTTTTTGTTAACTGACAAGTATAAAATCATTTATACGAATTTACACATGTTAATTAAGCAGAAAATCATTTATATAAATTTACACATGTTAATTAAGCAGGAAATCATTTGTACGAATTATCCAATTGATAATTAATAATACCATTTTGATATTTATATCTGTATTTTATATCTGATTATTGATAATATGATAACAGTATTAAACTGTGTGAGCAAATTATTTTATTACATTAGAGATAATTTTTTTAATCCAATATATTTTTAATAATATTTTTTTACATCTCCACTAATTAATTTTAATCTCGATAATATTCTTTCTTCGACTTGGAACTATTTTTTTCTTATTAAAAATGCAAAGGATTATTATTTAAACTTTCAATTTTCAACGTTATACATTTTTAAGACTAAGCGCTTTTTCTTTTTTCAAACTAAAATTTTTCTAAAATACCGTCTATTTTAAATTTTTCTAGAAGATATACTTTTTTGTTATCAAAGTTTTTCAAAATTGCAGACTAATCTATATACTATTTCAAAACTTTAATTTTTTTTTTTAAATCTTAATAAAAATATTTAATATTTTAATTTTTATATATTTTTTCGATCACTTCTCAAGATTACTGTGCTCTCAATTACATTCTGATAAACGAGTGTTTCGGTAAGATAAAGTCTTCTACTGTTACACACATACATTTATGTAAATGGATTATTGAATTGAGCGATAACTATCAGAAACTGTTAGCAATCTAAAAATTTTTCAAACAAGACCAATCGAATAAAGCTGCCAAATCAAATATTTAATATTGCTTTTTATTTATGTATAAATATGTAAGTAATATTATATGAGAAGGAAAAAGAAAATAAAAGAAAGATAGAAAGAGATTCTCTTGCAAAATGCTTTTGAAACTTGCTATCTTTAGAAGACACATATGTTCGGTATTCTATACAGTAGCAACGCGATTATACACATACACAATCCGCGTGCATGTGTATGTGTATAATAATTTAATTAATTTTTTAATTAGATTTTGCAATTTATATAAAAATCCGCAGATTTCTATGTAATTTTTTTGTTATATGTAATTTTTTTCTTTAAATATTACAATATAATTTAATATTAAGTATTAAATACTAATTATATAATTTATAAAATCTCACGTTTTCATCTGTTTAAATTATTTTTATTACAAATTGCTAACTAAAATAAAAGTATCATATATACTCAACACTTGTATAAGTCTAATACAAACTGCTGCAAAATTAAATTTGCAAATTTCAACGTTCGTTTACTGATCGCTATATTTAGAATATCCGAATATACACATATAATATGTTTGCATCTGCTTTAATATCCTCTTAAGTGATTTTTTTAATAGAAAAATTTTGCCAATGTAAGATATGATAAGCCGTACTCATCTTAAGCGATAACACTCCGCATGCTTATATAAAAATCAGTTCGAGTAGAGACAAATTCGTCAGTTAGCAATTTAGTGTGAATGAAGGAATAGTTCCCGGTCCCTAACTTTAGCGACTGGATTATTCACGATGAAAGGTGAGTGCTCACGATTTATGGAATTCTAATAGAGTGATAAAGTGGAGGCAAACGAGATATTGGATAACTGATCATTGAATGGCAAATGTGTAGGGCGACTGTTTATGCCCACGAAAAAAAGAAGATTGTGTGTAGTGCAATTTATCTCTTGTTTAATTATGTATAAATGTCGACAAGAGGAGTATAAAATAATTATAGCAAATATATGCAGGTTTAAAATATTTTAAATAAATAGTTATCTCTCGTAGAGATCATCGTTATTGCATACATTTATGATCAAATTAAAAAATATTGTTCATAAATTTATACAAGATATAAAAGTAATAAACAGAGAATTATGTAACATGCATATCATCGAATAGCATATTATTTATATAATTTGTAGAATTGCGCGTGCTTATTCAAATAATTATTTTTGACATCAATGTAAATATTTTCTCATAACAAATTACTTTTTTTATACATATTATAATATTTTTTAGTAGAATTATTATTATATGATAAAATGTTAAGTATATATTACTTTTTCTAATTGTATTAAATTTTGTAATTTCTCTTATATATGAAATATATAAAATATTATCTCTCTCTCTCTTTCTAATTAACAATCTTAATAAAATTAAATAAAGAGATATTAAAGAAAAAAAAATCAGATTATTAATTAAAGAATAAGATATTAAATGGATATCACAACAATTCATTTTTTTCTTGAAATTGCTTAATTTGTTTAATTCTTAGATTATATTAATGATACTTTTGTGTGTATACATATATATATATATATATATATTCACATAATACTAGATTTTTTAATATAAATAAAATCTCGCCAACACATCGCATTTTCAGATTTTAATTTATTTCATCATCCTGATATCAAAATGCTTACGATTGATAAAAATTCTCGTAAAATTTTATCCAACATAAATAAAAGATGCTAAAGTTTTATTTTTGATAATGTTTGAATTAATTTATTAACGATAAATCGAAACATCAATCATATTAAAATAAATTGTCAAAAAAGTTAAACTTTATTTTTTAAGTTTAATCTATCTATTTAATCTGTTGTATTAATGTCATTTATTTAATTGTTGTATTAATGTCATAGATAATCAATATTATTATATATTCATATTGCATTAATATTACATATATATTCTTATATTTTAGATATATACTTAGTGGTCATTTTATACATGACTACGTTGAGCATTGCACTCAACATATCACCAGTGACTGATTTTCCGACAGAATGTCCGATAAATGACAACTCACGGGATAAAATTGTTTACTTGCCCCATGAAAATGACTGTACAAAATTCTACAGTTGCCACATGGGAACAAAGGGGAAACCACTAGATTGCCCTTTCATGGATAAAAACGGTAACAGATTGCACTTCAATCCCGTACTTCAGGTATGCGATTGGCCTTGGAATGCAGAGTGTCAAATTAGATCAACATCAACTCCGATGACGCCGACAAGTTCTTTAATACCGCCGATTTCGCCGTCAAGTTCTCTGACGACAATTTCATCACCAAGTCCTTCGACATCGCCGACATCGTCGTCAAATTCTCCGACGACGTCGACAGTACCACCAAATTCTTCGACACCGCCGACATCGTCGTCCAGTTTTCCGACGACGTCAACTTTACCACCAAGTTCTTCGACATTGCCGACATCGTCGTCAAATTCTCCGACGATGCCGACTGTACCACCAAATTCTTCGACAACAGTGACTTCATCGTCCAGTTCTCTGACAACGACAACATTACCACCAAATTCTTCGATATCGACCACTTCATCGTCCAATTCTCCAACGACGGCGACTTCATCACCAAGTTCTCCGACATCGCCGACATCGTCGTCCAATTTTCCGACGACGCCGACATTACCATCAAATTCTTCGACATCGTCGACTTCATCGTCCAATTCTCCGACGACAACGACTTCATCACCAAGTTTTCCGACGACGCCGACTTTACCATCAAGTTCTTCGACCTCGCCGACTTCATCGTCCAGTTCTCCGACGACGCCGACATTACCACCAAATTCTTCGACATCGTCGATTTCATCGTCCAGTTTTCCGACAACAACGACTTTGTCACCAAGTTCTCCGACATTGCCAACATCGTCATCCAGTTCTCCGACGACGCCGACTTTACCACCAAGTTCTTCGACATCGCCAATTTTACCACCAAGTTCTTCGATATCGCCGACATCATCTTCCAGTTCTCCGACGACATCGACTTTACCACCAAGTTCTTCGACACTCCCGACTTTATCACCAAGTTCTTCGATATCGCCGACATCATCGTCTAGTTCTCCGACGACGTTACCATCAAATTCTTCGACATCGTCGACTTTATCCAGTCCTCTGACGACGACAATTTTACCACCAAGTTCTTCGACATCGCCGATTTCGTCGTCCAGTTCTCCGATAACAATGACTTCATCATCCAGTTCTTCGATATCATCGACTCTGCCAGCAAGTTCTTCGACATCATCAAATATCATAAAAAATACGACATCGGGAACTTTGCCTTCTTGGACTTGTGAATTTGATGACAGAACACACATGATTCCCCATAAGATTATGTGTGATCATTATTACATATGCTTTAACGGTATAGTAAACCCTGAACCAAAGAAATGCGATCGCAATTTACTCTTTAATCCAATTCTTCGTGTATGCGATTATCCAGAAAATGTAAATTGCAATTATATTCCCAATGTTGTATGGAATACAACAACGACATCATCGGCTTCGCCATTGTCGATACAGATAATTTCGCTGCTGCATCCTCTGTCGCCAACAATGACTATAACAGCAGCTTCGACAACGATTACAACGGCAATCTCAATGGCAACTACACAAGCCTCCAAAAAACCTCGCACAAAGTGTCCTTCCAAAACATCAACCGAAGTAGCGCGGATTGCTCATCGATGTCTATGCAACGTATATTATGAATGCGTGAATGGTGACAAGATACATCAAACATGCCCGAACGGGATGCATTTCGATTATGTGCGAGAAGTTTGCGATTTGCCCGAAATAGTGAACTGTGTGCGGCCTATTACTGCCATAGATATTCTAATGGGCAGCTGTCAGAGTAAATGCTATCCGGACGGCAAAGCATTTCAACATGAAATTGATTGTTCGTCGTATTATCTATGTTCCGATGGTGAGAGAATTCTAAAACACTGTATTGCGGGACTCCACTTCAACGTTATCCTCCAGATGTGCGACTATCCGATTAAACCAGATTGCGACTTAACTGCTATGTTCCTCACGACGATCACTGTAGGTGATTGTCCTCCTCCGGATTCCACAGAAAAAGTACTGTTGCCTCATGAATGTAATTGCGAACAATATTACGAATGCGTTAATGGAAATCAAGTACTTCGAATTTGTCCAAATAGTCAACATTTTGATCGCATTCGGAACATTTGTGATCATCCAGAAAACGCTAAATGCCCATATGTTTGTCCTTGTACCAAAAAAACAATATTGTTGCCCCACGAATGTAATTGCAATCAGTATTACGAATGCGTTAAGGGAAGGCAAGCACTTCGAACTTGTCCAAATGGTCTATATTTTGATTATATTCAGAAGATTTGCAAACATCCAGCTGAAGCCAATTGTGCAACCACACCTAATCCAACGACAACTACAGAAACTACAACAACAGAAACGACAACAACAGAAACGACAACAACAGAAATGATAACAACAGAAACGACAACAACAGAAACGACAACAACAGAAACGACAACAACAGAAACGACAACAACAGAAACGCCTATCACAACAACACCTACAACAACTACAACAGAGAACATTCCTGAAAAACCACGAAAAACATGTCCTCCTCCAGGATCGACTGAGGAAGCACGAATCGCTCATCCTTTGTTTTGTAATATGTATTACAAGTGCAAAAATGGTAAAAAGATACTACAAATATGTCCGATCACCTGGCATTTCGATTATATACGAGAGGTTTGCGATTGGTTTTGGAAAGTAAAATGCATCCGGCCAATTCCAACGTATGATATTTTAATTAGTGACTGCGACAATAAATGCTCTCAGGAAGGCAGAGCATTTCGGCACGAAACCGACTGTTCCTTGTATTATTTATGCTCCAATGGTAAAAAAATTCTAAAATACTGTACGGCAGGACTCCACTTCAATGTTACCCTCCAAATGTGCAATTATCCGTATAAGAGTTGCGATCTCTCTGATAATACTTTATCGATAACTACTCTAAACGTTTGCCCTCCAAATTCTATAGAGAAAGTACGTTTTTCTCACAAATGTAAATGCACGCATTATTATGAATGTGTTAATGGAAGAAATCTTCTTTTTGAATGCTCGGACGGTCTGCATTTTGATAACATTCAGCAGATTTGCAAAGATCCAGTTGAGGCCGGTTGCGCTACATTTCCAGAATCCACTCCCACGTCCATTATTTCTACTACAAAGTGGCCCGAAGAAACTGATAAAACAACTATTAACAATCTCGATCCATCTACCTGTATCGGTACCTGTCCTGAAACGGACCCTTCATTTGCAGTGTTACTTCCTAACAAAGATTGCAAGAAGTTCTGCATGTGCAGTAGTGGTATTGCATGGGTTCAATCTTGTCCTGAGCCTCTTTATTTCGATTCCAAAGATAAAGTCTGCAAATATAAGAGAGAAGCTGTTTGCGCCGTACATTCATTCAATCAAGATAGAGTTTCGATTTTTAATGAAATGATCGATGACGAGAATTCGATGCAACCTCTAAACGATAAAATTAATGACAAACAAAAGATACATGATAATTCTTTGTCTAAAGTACGCATTTACAATCTCGATCCAGCTACTTGCATTGGTATATGTCCTGAAGAGGATCCTACATTTGCGGTGTTACTTCCTAACGAAGATTGCAAGAAATTCTGCATGTGCAGCAATGGTATTGCATGGGTTCAATCTTGTCCTGAACCTCTTTATTTCGATTCCAAAGATAAAGTTTGCAAGAATAAGAGAGACGCTGTTTGCGCGGAACGCTTATTCAATCAAGATCACACATTTATGCTTCATAGAATAGTCGATGACGAGAATTCGGTGCAATCTCTGCACAATAAGAATAACGACGAACAAGAAATACATGACAATTCTTGGTCTAAAGTACGCATCAACGACGATCTCGATCCAGCTACTTGCATTGGTATATGTCCTGAAGAGGATCCTACATTTGCGGTGTTACTTCCTAACGAAGATTGCAAGAAATTCTGCATGTGCAGCAATGGTATTGCATGGGTTCAATCTTGTCCTGAACCTCTTTATTTCGATTCCAAAGATAAAGTCTGCAAGAATAAGAGAGACGCTGTTTGCGCGAAACGCTTATTCAATCAAGATGATGCATTTATGCTCCATAGAATAGTCGATGACGAGAATTCGGTGCAATCTCTGCACAATAAGAATAACGACGAACAAGAAATACATGACAATTCTTGGTCTAAAGTCCGCATCAACGACGATCTCGATCCAGCTACTTGCATTGGTATATGTCCTGAAGAGGATCCTCCATTTGCAGTGTTACTTCCTAACGAAGATTGCAAGAAGTTCTGCATGTGCAGCAATAGTATTGCATGGGTTCAATCTTGTCCTGAACCTCTTTATTTCGATTCCAAAGATAAAGTCTGCAAGAATAAGAGAGACGCTGTTTGCGCGAAACGCTTATTCAATCAAGATGATGCATTTATGCTCCATAGAATATTCGATGACGAAAATTCGATGCAATCTCTGCACAACAAGAATAACGACGAACAAGAAATACATGACAATTCTTGGTCTAAAGTACGCATCAACGACGATCTCGATCCAGCTACTTGTATTGGTACCTGTCCTGAAGTGGACCCTCCATTTGCAGTGTTACTTCCTAACGAAGATTGCAAGAAGTTCTGCATGTGCAGCAACGGTTATGCGTGGGTTCAATTTTGTCCTGTGCCTCTTTATTTCGATTCAAAAGATACAGTCTGCAAGAATAAGAGAGACGCTGTTTGCGCCGTACGTTCATTTAATTAAAATCATGTTTGTATGATTGATAAAACGATCGAGAAGGATAGTTAGATGAAATTTCTAAGTAAGAAGCACTTTAATGAACGAAGAACGTAGGTTTTGATTTAAACTAATTACTTTCAGTCAATTTTTTTAAATATTTGAGATTTTAAAAATTGATATTGCATTCACTTATTCACATATAATCTGGTAACGTGACTTATAATTCAAATTTTGAACACATTTTAATTTTTTAAATTTAACTTAAATAAAATCTGATATACACACACTCAATATATATCACATATTTATGAAAAGTAATTATTGTTTGCTGATAGTTATTTATTTATAGAAGTCAGTCCATTATATTCCACAATGAATTTTCCGCCTTATTGTAATTTATAGACTAAAATTTATTTTTTAATTAATTTTGTATGTTGTAATAAATCTGTGAGTCACCATAGATCACTGCAATAATTTTTTGTTATTATATTTATCTTTATAATAATATATTTTTCTTTATAATTGATTATTGATTATATATATAATGGATTATTAATTATATTATTAGTTATATTAATTTGGCATTATACTAACAAAACTTAACAATCTAACAGAAATTCAAAACTAATTGTTAATTATAATCTTTTTTAATTTAAACTTTAATTTCTTTCTGATGTCAAATACCTTTATAAAATTAAGTTTCAAAATTTTAACAGTCTACTCGAGAAAAGAAAGAATATCTGATATTTTTAAAAATATTTTATGATAGAATGTTACATATATAATATATCTAATATATAAATATGATTCTCAAATTAATATTAATATTTTCTCCAATATTATATATTAACAGTAATTTTATTTAATTTAAAATTTAATTACAAATGGATTTAACAAAATCAATATGTATCAACCGACTTTCCACACGGTTTTGTCGAAATAAAATTCGCTAATAAACGGATGGCAGTTATTCCTCATTTATTCGTCATTTCAGCTTTATTATGCTTGTTAAATATTGTCAACAAAGAAATTTATACATATAAGATTAAATGGGATTACAACCTTGCTACCTAGCTAGATTCGTATCACATAATTCGTAAAATTCGATTTATCTCAAGCGTCATTAATTGGGTTCCGATTTGAACGTTTCTTTGACAAGAGATTACTCATTCAGCATCCTCACACGCTCTCTATCGTCTTCAGGCACTGCATCGCAACTATTATCTTCGACGAGATATTCATAACACAAAACGAAATCGCGGCGAAGAGAGAAAAGCGAGAAGTTAATTTAACATTGATAGATGTTACGATCATTCGTAAACTCGGGACGGTGAAGGACTTTGATATATTTCAGTATCGAGAGGGGAATTTAGGGAGATTAGGAGAGAAAAGAGAGGATGCTACACGAGGTCATTTATTGTACATCGTCGTAATTGCCAATCATGTCCGAAAGAGAGCCGGGTCGTGTAGCGACGCGCGATGTATGCTTGTCGATGTTCGAGTTCTGAAAGTCATGGAACAGAACCTGTTCTTTATTCTGCCTGATCTTCTGCTGCCGCCGCGCATCCTGGATCATCCTCAGAATTTCCCAATTGCTCAACTCCGTCGACATTGGTGCGACGTCACTCCGTTTGCCAAATCTACGCATTGGTAATACTTTTAATCTTAATATTGCGATTAATTTTATTTTACATTGTATTGAATTAATTTTATGTTGTTTTTTGTTTTGCATTTCTATGCACGATGCTATTTAATGCTTTATATTGAGATCTGATATGTAGATTTTTTTATTATAATTGTGTGCAATTATTATCTATTAATTATTCTAAAAACTTAAACTTTGATTTAATCTGAGATACTCAGATAAACCATGTTTTATTTGAGATATATTGTACACTAACTTACAATTAGTAACTAACTTTAAGCAATACTATTATTTATTGGATTATATTACGAAAATAATATCCCATAATGCTTGCGAATGTGACCGTTACCTCGCTTTTGCGAGCGACATATAATAATCTCTAACAAGATTGACATATTTTCTCAGCTCCTCGGGATTGCCAAACTCCTTCGGTCTGGTCAGTCTAATCATGGGTTCCGTTTCGGCATGGACAATTGAGGTTCCGACAACGGTGGCCAATAGTAAGCAACAAGAGAAATGAACAAGGCTCATCATCCATGTCCGCATTTTGAACGGCTTGAAGTAATAGTGGTCGGTTGCTGCAACGAGACGACAAAGCTTATGCGTATAAAGAGAAACAAAGAGAGAGAAACAATGTGTATGGCTTTAAACTTCACACGCGCGCGATCAACCCGCGGGAAGAACACGCAAACATTTTCCTTTTCGCGACAAAACTTTCCTTGACGCGCATCAAAGGAATACGATCCAAAGTTTCTTAACGTAATACGCTTCCAAAAGTAGTAAAACTTCCATCTGACGATGATCAAGTATCGCTTCCCACTCGCTTCCGAATACGGCGAACACTTCCGAAAGAAGAACGCAGCGGGGGTGGTTGAGCGCGAAAGATAATTAGGGTGCAAAAACTAATGCGCATCTTCAACCTTTCTCGAAAAGTCGCAGAATTCTTCGAGAAATTGTTGTTGAGAAATGCTTTGTTCCTAAAGAATGCCGTACTGAGCGGTCGTTGTGCTCTAAATGAAAAGAAAGTTACGTTCCTAACGTAACTCCTCATTCATTCCGTTCAGGGGAATCACTAAAGCTAAATTTAGTCGTTTCTATACTATAAACGTAGATAAAATTGGCCGTTACTAATATTGTATACTCTATTTATATACTGCATCTCGAGTCTCCGCATTTTTCTCATCTTTTATTTAAGAAGTATTCGAGACAAAATCTTTAAAATCTGAAAATTCTAAAAAATCTTTGAAAAATTTATTGCTGAGAAAAACACCTTTCAGAATCAGGTATTTTAATCAAATCGCAGGTACATAACATCACATTCTCGGAATATTAAATTATGTCGTAAATTCCGGTGATTATGGTAAAATGCGTAGAATTAAAGGACATTCAGGATTAAATAACATGTACGAAATCCAGCGGATGCAATAAACTGTTATGGCAATTGTAGATACACAATTACTTAGAAGCACAACGAATTGTTATTTAATTTTTTCATTTTATAAAACTATTTAATTTCAGATAAATATTGGTGCATATATCGAAGATTATTGAGAATAATCAATCAAAAATTATTAATTCTAAAAAAACATTTTTCCACATTTCATATTTCTACTATATATATTAGATAAAAACGAAAAGTTTTAATTGATTTCTTTATATAAAAATCATGCTTTGTTTCGCGAAGAAGAAATGAAATTGTCCGCAATGTATCTATCAGATGAATTTTACTATTAAATTTAACACTTTGTTTTTAACTCTAATAAGTCATCAAAATAATTTCCGGACTTTATATTTCTAATATATTTATCTTATTTAGTCTTCTTTGTTGCGGATGAAAGATCGAAGTATCAATAAATCAAGTGCATATATGCACATCCGATGGAAGATTTTATTATGAGAATAGAATTGTGATCATTGCATAATAAATTTCATTTTTCGATTATTCATACCGCTAATCTAATATAGTTTTGTTCAAGAAAAATAAATTTAAGGAGAGAAATTTAATAAAGAATATTAAAAATTAATATTTATACATAATATGGAATTCTGGTTATGTAAAATTAACCAATTAATGAGATTAAAGGAACAGTAGGCAAGCAGAAATATTGCGGCAAAGAAGTTTTACAGTCGAAATGCGGAGCAGAGTGAAATTCGCGAATGAAAGCAAAATCGTGAAGTAGAGTTACCTGTTGCGTAACGGACAACTTTATCGATAATGGACGGACTCCGTGGAGGATACCAAATCGTTTGAAATCAAATATCAGGGTATAGTCGATCCACCTTCGAAAGTACGCCAAAACTTTTTCATGCCACGTGACATGATCGAGCATTAATGCCACAATAAATATGAGATACGAAACTAATTTAAGAACTGTAGGTTCAATAGGTCAATCATTATCTATTAGATGGATCCGCGGGATATATATATATATAGATATACGGTTTACCTTTGCTATAAATATTACGTATGACACGTGTCTCTTGATATTTTTTATTTTGCGAAAAAATGTGTCGAATAAATTGCACCGTGAATGCTTTGAAATTGAATATCGGAATATAAGAGATAGAGGATATTTTTTCTAAGTTTCTTGTTATACTGCACGTTCTTAAATTTCAACGTATTTCTTGAGTGCTCTGTGAAATTGGAATACGTCACCGATCTCAAACGTAAGACTTCACTTTTGAAAAACGCAGCCACGTACTTTTAGAGATATCTCGATAAACTTTGAACTAAATCGTGAGACGACAATCACACGCTCGATTTTTTAAAGAATTGCAAGAATTTGTAGTTTTATTACACGGGGACATAAGTAGCAGCAATATAATTCCATTTCACATATTTTCACATCCTTTGAATACAGAGCGATAAATTCTACTGAATCGACGCGCGGAAGAAGCACGAGATATTATAAATTGCGGCACCTATAGAAGCAAAGAATTTTTATTATGATATTAAGTACAAGATATACCGATGTTTAATATCTCTGCTGACTTGTATTTATATAAGCATTTTCTTTCATAAAATGTCTTAAAATAAAATACGCAATAGGTAATCACGAATACTTAAGTAGTCCATTGAACGCACACGTTCACTGATTTTTCAATACGCAACTCAATCTGACGATAAAACAAGAGGATCAAATTAATCAAAATATTTGATAAAATATAAATTTATATGGACGTATATAGTTTATCTAATAATTGGAAATATTGAATTTTGCGATATTGTAAGCTTCAAGCTTACGATAATTTTAAGGTTGTCGCACTCGTCACTGATACGTTCGGATTTAAAAGGATCACTAATTCTTCTGATCGTATACTTGCAACTGATTCATAAACAGATAAGTCGACAGTTGAAAAATTTTTTGAATTCTCTGCGTGATCAGATAATGTAGTAGATTAAATGGAAATTGCCGATATAATTTGTTATGATCTTTTTATATTATGTTTCTTTGATAGTTCTTTGAATTGTTATAACCGCTCTAATTAAAAAATGTTTTATTGCAGAAATATAATAGTTATTAGTAATTATTATTATAATATCATTTCTCTTTACATTTAGAGATTTATTCAAAGATTCGTCATTTCCTCTTTTAAAAAATTTTATTAATTAATAAAAATAACATAATTAAAATATAAATCAAGAATCAAAGTAAAATTGCAAAAGAGCCACGCGCAGTTTCGAGGCAGAAACCTCGATTTTTTAAGCGTAAATCCAAGAACATGGTGATTCGTTAATAATTGTGTCTATAATATGAGCGGAGTGGTTTGTGTCGAAAAACGAAAAGAGAGATAAGGTCCGTGTCGGAAATTACAATAGTAAGACTTACGTAAAAGAGACGCAACGCACAAGTCGACAGTACAAAGCCTTTGGCAACGCAAAATCTTAACCAAACTCACTAACTATCAACGGAGTAATGAGAAGTATCGTTCGGCGAAAAAGGTGAGATGATAAAAACAAATGTTACCAATAGCGGTAAACAACGATACAAAACAAATTAAAGGTTGTCAAAACAGTGAAAATGGAAAACAATATATCAGCATTGTCTGTAGTATAATAAATTAAAGTAATAAATAAATAAATATATATAAAACGGTCCGGACAAAATATCCAAAAAATAAAAACAAATAGTTGTCGTTGTAAAAAAGATGGTTGTCAAATGAGTTATGTTAAATAGATAAATAAATAAATAACATTTAGAAGGTTGTCAAGTACAGTAAAATAATTATAAATTAAACATAAAAATTACAATGAAATATAAGATAATTAAAAACGCCCCACATACGACGCATCGCAATTATCACAATTAATTTTCTAGACAACATTGCTGCGGGCCGATTGTGGGCAGGAGTCTTTGTGCACCTTAATAAACTTGTTCATTTAACATATCTAACAAAGAATGGGGGGTAAAAATCAGAGACCCAAGAGCTTTAGATTCCAGATCTTGAAGGACTATGTCCGCGATAATGGGGGACAATGGGGAACCCATAGGAGTACCGAAAGTTTGTTTGTAAATTACTCCATTGAAAGTAAAAAAAGTAGAACCTAATATCAGTCTAACCGCAGGAATGAATTCATAATGTGATATGTTGCAATTATTAGAGATGTAATTCCATCGAGAAGAGATGCTATCAATCGCTATATCAGTAGGAATGTTTGTGAATAAGGAAACGACGTCTAGAAATGAGAAGAAATATTATTTTATTTTATTTTACTGTACTTGACAACCTTTTAAATATTATTTATTTATTTATCTATTTAACATAACTCATTTGACAACCATCTTTTTTACAACGACAACTTGTTTTTATTTGTTTTTATTTTTTGGATATTTTGTCCGGACCGTTTTATATATATTTATTTATTTATTACTTTGATTTATTTTACTACAGACAATGCTGATATATTGTTTTTCATTTTCACTGTTTTGACAACCTTTAATTTGTTTTGTATCGTTGTTTACCGCTATTGGTAACATTTGTTTTTATCATCTCACCTTTTTCGCCGAACGATACTTCTCATTACTCCGTAAAATATAAATCATTCATACATTAAAATAAATAAAACAAATTAGTACACATACAATAAATTCACTCTTATTTAGAAAAAATATAAAATGCATGCGTGTATAAAGAAAAGAAAATTTTTATTATACACATAGCAACAGTAATATACAGATAAAGCAAAGTTGATGAAGCAGAAACGTGCCGAAATGAAACGTACTTGACAGAGATCACAAGCGTTGAAGGCGCTGATAACGATTTTCACTTAATGGTTAGTCGGCCGGCACGTGCAACTGAATGAAAATATCCATTATTGTTTGTCGACATTGTTACAACCGTAAGACTACATCATCAGTTATACGGAGTGAGTGAATACAGCTCCGTGTCTTACAATCAGCCGCGCGTATGTATGCCCGTTTCGATATCGTCACTGCCACCGTCGACGTTACAATTATGAAGACCCGCTTTCCGTCGTGGGATCTCGCAGGTTGTATTACGCAAAATCTTACGAATTGCGATTGTAGTAAGAATGGCGAAGCGAAATATTACGTTGCCAAATACAATAATGATCCAGACGCAGTATCTCGGAAACATGGCGGAAACGTTACATTCATTGTTAGCTGCATCAGAAATGTACGAAGCTCATGAGTAGAACTGTATCGCACAAGCTATATCTAGAATTACGTCACTCTGAATTGTACAAAGTAATTTTGATGTAATGCATGGCACGAAAAAACTTTGAAATTATAACTATAATTACTAAATGTTACGATTTTATATAATTTCATAAAAATATTTTATCTTAATGATTTCTCTCCTTATAAATTTCTATTTGATATATTTATACAAGATATTTCGGTCCCGAGACCTTTCGATAGAATAACGATCGCACAGATTGAAAAATGCGAGATTATTATCGAGTTAATGCGTAATTAATCCACGCTTTCACGATATCGTATCAAATTTTATTACTCGCTGAAGGCGACTATAATATAATGTTTAGATAGTGGCAGATTAACGCAAAGCAGCATGATGATGCATCGAAAATTCGCGCTTTCATAGAAAATGCCACGATATTATTGATGACTGTGATTATAGCTATTATTCATTCAATTTCAATCCTGAACTTTCCAAAGATATATTATGAATAAATCTCAAACACGTTCTAGATGTATGTATGCGACGTATGTAATTATCTCGGCGGAAATTATGTTCGACATATCCGTACGATAGTGTCAAATGAAAAAAGACTAATAGTAAGTAAACTTTTAAACATCAAAAACAACATCAAATTAAAAAAATTATTAAGATTCTTTAATCTTAAGATTCCTTGATTATTCTGTGCTAATATTCTCTTCTCATGCTGTATCAGTCTCGCTAAATCTGTACGACTCGTGTATCAGATATTTCGCCAAATAATAAAAGCACGATTTCCTGGAAACTCATGAACGCGATAAACCATAGAGACTATCTGCTGATAGTGCGATCTCACGCCCGATACTCGGATTGAAATTAATTATGTGACCTTTACGGGCATCTAAAGAGACGATATTGTCCACCGGCAAGCGTCGCAAATGTTCGAGTTCATAGCGCACGTGACGTTTTTCATAAGGCCGGAGGAGCATGCCGAATCGGCCATCTTCTCGCCTTATAGCAGCTAAGAAGCTAAAAGAATTCACATTATTATTTTGCGAAGCGTCGAGTAAGATCTCGGACGGAGAATTCTCTGTTTAAAGAATAGACGAAATTCTATCAAGTAATAATTCTCCCGCGGAATATATTTTCATATTTAAAATATAATATCGCGGAATAAAATCTCTGCTATTTTAACGAACATGTTAAAATATAGATATATTTTGAAATTCAAATAGTTTGATTAAAATAATATGAAAAATTTTTGTAAAAATTAGACTGCAAATATCGTGATACTTTAAAGATAAAGAATTGATATTTTTGAAAAAAAAAAAAGCATTATGAAATGCCATTGTAAAACATATTGTATTCTTCATGTTTTCTTATATAATCCTCGAAAATGTATTACAAAACATTAAAAAATTTTTTCATTTTCCTATATAAATCTCTTCTCTCTGTGTCCGAAATATTTTGTCGTAACTTTAATTATAAACTGCCAAAATAAAATGGAATTCTTCAAGCTGTGAATGACGAGGGATTAAACGCGATATTAATTATAATTTGCTTATAGAATCGACTCGATATAGCGTCATACAGGCGGAATATATTCTTTAAGAGATAAGCGCGCCACGAACGAAACACAAAATGACAAGAGGGGTCGCAAGGCTATTTCGCTAAATATAGTAAACTTCATTGTGTCGCATCCTAATGCATGCGATTATACACGCAAAGCGAGGACGAAATGAGTACGTAAAGCAAGCACAGACACTATACGACCGATTACAACGATAACGAAGCTATCGAATCAATCATGGAACTTGATTTTCAGGCGCGTTCTTCTGTGATGATGACACGCTCGTCACACATTGAGTGATTACCTCCTCCGATAAAACATGTTTTTGCTCACGGCACTATTTGTGACAAAATTCTTACAATTAGGACAATGTTTTGTAATAAAGTCGATTGTCTGCGAAGATTTGTCGGTTAATAATGATTTCAGTATGTATATATACGCGCAATACATGCTATTTTGTTGTATGTAAAAATTTGTATTTATCAGATCACATGGAAGTTGCTTTCTAAAAACGTTACTGGTAGCAAGCAATCTCGCGTGATACAAATCTCTTATTACGCGTATTATAGAAATACGTAATATCAAAACAATTAATCATGCATAAGTTGACATATATTAAAAATGCTAAATATAAAAAAGTATTAAACAATGCAAATTTACATATATTTGTTGATAACATAGTATTTATCAGTATTAATTAGCTATGCATTTATCTTAAAATTTGACTGATTCAAGTAGGATGCATAATATTCGATTATGTATACATTTCTGTAACTGCTTTTTAAAAAATAATAAAATATATCCATAAATTATTCGTATTAAGAAACTGTATAGAATTTACTATAATTTGTTCTTCTGAGATAAAAAAGCCATATAATTTGAATACTAAATAATTATTTTTTGTTTTATATAATATATAATTTAATTTAATTTTTTTTTGCAATATACAAAATACATTAAAACAAAATTATATTTAACATCATCACTATTCAAACAATTAAGAAAGTAGTTAAAAAAAAAACAGTTTGCAAGGATTACTTGAACAACATTAATAACCGGAAATTTTCAAAATCAATTTATTAAAATTTTTTTATAAACGCTCTTTCAAATCAATAATAGAAACATTATATTATACATTTTGATTATTTCGAATTTATATTAACTCAGGATTCCGCATATACTCACCGAAAGACAAACAAATTTCCGTGACGATTGGCTAATTGATTAGCTAATAAATCGCGATTGAAGATGAATATCAGCTCACACTTGAGGGAAATCCTGAATACGTCTCACTGGCACCTAGCAAGTTTCTCTTGTCTTATTCGGCACCCTGATGTATCTTTCTGATGTACTGGCGAACGTTTCAGTAGTTCGGATCGGCCGCTGAGCCGCCGACAGGAGTATATATACCTACTTGCGAAGGCATCCCCCACAGCATCCCCCGACTGCAACCCGTAGCCAATCCTCGAGGTTCAACCCCACCAATCGTTCTCCTACTCGCGGCTACTTACGTGGATCTTCCTTTCATAGATCCCTCGCGCCGCACGATCGCGCCTTTCTAGGTAAAATGCGATCGCTTAACTCGATATAAAAAAATAATTTTACTATACGTATTTTTACCAGAAAGATTATCCACCCTCATATCAGATCGATCGCAAAATAATGCAAACTCTAATTAATTCTTAATTTTAATCGTTTATTGCAAAATGTATATCTACAGTCTTTTTTTCTGACGTTGTCTTTTTAAAAATGCGACAGCCGTATATTTATACTCTTCCAAAAATATATATTTAATTGTTATTCCTTTGGAACTGGATATTCAT